CTATAAATTCTTCATTAAATTTAACCAAGGGCACATCTTTGGGTAATATTGTCGCCAGCTCTTCGGAGATGACGTGGGTTATGGTTTGATGAATTTCCTTTTCGTTGGACGCGACTTTACATTATGATGAGCTTGATCAATAAAAGCAATTTCTTTTCTATCAAAAAATCACAGCCAAACAAAGGTTATACTACCATCCAGTTTGAACCGTATAATGTTGTTGTGTAAGGTCGCGTCGTTTTTGTCAATTTTGTGTGCTTGCAAGAGGGTTCGAAGTGCAAGCAAATATTTCTCTTGAGTTCGGATGACAAATAGTACAAAGAGAGGTTAGTTGCCATGTCAAATTCACCCTACATAATATCACGAGAAAGCAAAACATACTCTTTCGAAGGTAAATTTCAAATCCAAATAAATGTGTCTCTATTCTTTTCGACGATAATTCTTGCAAAGGCAGCAAAAATTTGAAAGCTTCCCCTAAAGGATCATCTGTCTGTGAAGAATGAGTTCAGTTATTTCAACGTTCCACGCAATTTCAATAAAGGATTATGGAAGAGTATAGCTGAACCTTGAGAAGTTTTTCACCGTCGGGATCATCATCTTGTGGCTTTTCAGCCTTCTTTTTAGTCTGATCATCTTTGGTTTTTTCTGTTTTGCGAAGCATGAGAATTAACCAATCAAATTGGTTAACCAAGAAAAAAAAAAAAGAACCATGATGACGCTCGAATACCTTTTTTTTTCGTCGTCCTCTTTCTGCTTCTTTAGCGCAGCTTTTTTTTGCCTTATTTTTTGCTTTTTTTCTTTCTCCCTCGGTCATGTTTGCTGAGTGATGAAGAGGTTTTAGATATTGACCGAGATCACAATTAAACTTCAAGGTTCCCGCCTACCATAATCTTGTTCTTTCTCGGAGAGAACGGCTATTTCAGGGTTGTCATGCAGTTTTACATATATCTAAGCGTTCAACTGTGAACATTACAGATAAAAAAAAAAAAAGGAGGAGATTCAATGTGATAGAAAGTTGATTACCTTGATGGCTTCCTGTGCGGCTCGCAAGTAATACGGATGCGAACGCAACTGATCTTCTAGTCGTAACATACTGTCAATCGGAATGATAGGTTAGCGCGAATTTTCGCGAAAATTTTAGACCGAAATGTGCCAAATGCCTACCTCAAATATGCCCGGAGCGTAACCTTGCGTAAGCAATATGTATGAAAGTCGAACTGATCGTCGGTTATGTCGGCGAAATGCTGTAATCGTCGTCATCGACATCCGGGTTAGTACTCACAGGAAGTAACCGAACCAACTCAAAGCGCGCGATGGTACCTTCTCAATCTGATGGAGACGTTTAAGGGCTTTGCCCAATTTATTTTGTTTCACATAGCATCCCGCTTCTTCGAGGGCAAACCACATGCATTGCATGTCTACCAGATCTGTTATAGGGTCAGGAGCATCGCCCTACAAAAGAAAATGACGTCAGAAAACCTGTTCAGGGAATTTCGGTAAATTAAGAAAACACAGACCCTGGTGAACAGCCCGATCGTCTTTTCGGCGTCAGTGTCTTGACCATTTCTGAGCATATATTTTGAGCACTTTGAATTGATAAATCTGTCCTGAAGATCTAATTCACGGGCCTCGTTCATCGTTTTCACGGCCTCTGGAAGATTACCGCCGTGCTGTGCGATACAGTCAACATATTAAAAAACGGTTTTCAAGATTTGTGAATTTTACACATAATAGCTGGCAAAAACTCAAACCTTTAGAATTCGACCTTTGGTCATGTACAGTTCCACCAATGTTGGTGTGTGTTCGATTGCTTCGTTGATCAATTCGAGGGCCTTGGCGGTATCGCGTTTGTAATCATAATGTTGAGAGAGCAGGTAAAGCGTCCACAGATAGGCGGTGGGTGGTTCCATAAAGTCATTGTCGGTACCTTCGTTCTGGGCGAAGGTGCCATGATTTTTTAGATTCTGGAGATACTCTTCAACCAATCGCTCAATGATGATTTCTTTTTGAGGGTCTTTGTAGAGCTTCTTGACATTCACGAACAGCGAGGGAATACCTTTTCTAAGCGCTGCACGCATATAGTTATCGACCGCGACTCTGAAACCCTCACCTTTAAGCGAAAGTCAAGATTTCAATAACGAAAAAATTTGATACAAGGGGAATGAGGTTGCGAAGAAAATTCTGAGTCGACCGACCGGTGATATGCAGCAACGGAAAGAACTTGATCGTATTCGATTTTGGATACTTTTGGGCTAAATCTTTATACATGGAGACAAGCTTCTCTTCTTGTTCGGAGGTTAAATCGTCTGCGTGATGGGAGACAGACCTGAGCTCAACAAGACCTCATTGAAAATCGTGTCGATGGCATTTTATCAAAACGACATACATACGAGTGTTGATTCCTTTTGACAACTGTAAACCCTCATAATAATTATAGCAGTCGGGGTTATTTTCGATCAATTCCTCGTAGGCTTTCTCGGCCTCTTCGAGCCTATTGAGTTTCAATAGAAACTGGGCTGAGATCAAGAGTGAAATTAATAAACCTGAGACTCCCGACACATTGTTGTTGCTAGAAACGTTTGAGAAACCGTACCCCTCTTTTCCTTCCAAGCCCGACGATCACAAGTGTCATTTTTGATGGACTCCAGATGATCGAATGCCTCTTGAATATTGCCACTCTCTTCTATGATGAGATTGTGGTACAGCATCATCTCGCTGTGTTCAAAGTTCATGGGTCCAGGCTTTTCCTGTGATTTTATGGGAAAAGATTTCGTCTTCATGCAGCGGTTGATCATTTCGTGATAATAAATATCAACTAGTCTTATACCTTCAATGTTCCTTCGTACAATTTCAAAATTTTTTCGGCAGTTTTGTAGTTCTCAAGCAAGTGATATGAGATTGCAAGTCCTATCCAATATCTCGGATTTTTCGAATTCAAATTCAGAAGATGAAGTCGCGAATCCTTTGAATTTATCACGAATTCTTATGTTTCAAAAGACATTGATTCACCAATGAAAACCAAATAAAACAAATCTTGGCTTACGTTGAAAGCTTCGTGGTTTCTCATCTGAATTTGGAGTAGAGAGTAGTCTTGAAGAATTTGCACATTATCCTAGCAGAATTTAAAATTTGATATATACATGTGTGTATATGTATGTTTCTTTCTTGTTTTTTTTTTTTTTTTTGGTCGACCGCCACATTCGATACGGTGCAAGCCATTATTATACCTTGTCGATTTTTAGAGCTTGAGTATAGCATTTTAAAGCTTCCCCATAGTTTTTGTCCGATCGATGTAACAATCCATATACATGCCAGCCTATCCAAATGAAAATTTATTTAACAATGACTTTCTTTTTCTTTTCATTTTTCTTTCTTTTTCAAATTGTACATGGCCAAGATAAGCAAATCATTAACATATAATTACAAATATGACTATTCAAATCGAATAGAAGACCCTGGCGTACGAATTCGCGAGCTTCCTCTTTCTTTTCCATATGATTAAGAAATAACCCCTTCATCGCCAACGTCTCTGAATTAACAAAGGGATTCAGGTTACCAAAAATCCTGTGTTCAAGCATTCAACCTACTATCACATCACTCAGGCCGTTACAATGAAATAAGTACCACCGTGCTGAGGGAATTTTTTGAGTATTTGCTCGGCGGCCTTCAACCCTTTTTTATATTGTTTGAATTCATAGTATTTCTGGAAAAACGGAAATTACCGTGTAAATACTTTAGAAGTAAGAACAACTTTAAGAACAAGATTGAATGGGGCGGAACCTACGAGAATCTGTTTAAAAAGAGCAGATTCTTTCTGTGGTAATTCCCTCATGGCAACAACTTTGTCGTGTCAAATTTACATTAACAGTTTTTTTATTTAAAAATTTTTTAGCATTGATGGCTCATTTGATTGGTTGAATACTTTTTTGCTTTGAAAAAGGATCAGATCAGACCACTGTCACGTGCATATTCCCATCATCGCATACAGGTTCGTAAATTATTTAAAGTGAGATATGATTTTATCAAATATTTTAAACCTCTAAATCTCAACATTGAAAACTAACTTTATACAATTATTTATCAATCTTTGTCTTCTTCCATAAAGTCGGGATTTTTTCTAAGCAAAACGAAACCTTCCAAAACGTGAGACAAGGAGACATCTGTTTGTCAAATGTGTTAAGAACATAATAATCAAAGGAAAATACAACATTTCACTCCACCGAAAATGATCATAATAACAAAGGATACACTCTTCAGTAGCCAACTCTGCGCGTTCAGAATGCGCTAGCAATACTGGTGTTGAATGCGTTTGGAACCCTGTGATCGTTTTTGGTCGCCCTGCCTGCCCAACAACATCGACCGCCTTGAGACACGTGAATAGTTTGGGAATAGTTAGAGGTCACGTGAAAACATTAACAGAGCATCCCGCCAATTGAATATCTTACCTGTCCCACGCGCACGGTAACGGGCAAACTCTTCAGGCTCTCGTCAAGGGTGATCAAAAATCTGGGATACATTGCAGCGGCCAGATAATATAAGAACCAGTGATATTTTCCCAGTATAACTAAAAAAAAAAAAGAGTGCTTATTAATAAAAGAACGTTTAAACAATCATAATCAAATAAAATGATGATGACTCACGTGTCTTGGTATCGGTGAAGGCAACAAGGGTGGTCAAGAGTCCGGCCATCGCGACTGGTGACATCAATTGTCGGTCGGAATAATAGGGGTTTATTGATATCGTACCTTTACCCATGTGTAGTAATCCCTGAGAGTTTTAGGTTTAATTGGTTTAGCCGTTAACATAAATATTATCCTCCGGCACACACAATTCATTTTACCTGTGCAATTCGGACCATGAATAAGCAATTAGGCTCCTTGTGATAATATGAAGCCAACTGCCTTAATAACTGGGCCATTCTTGCGTTATTTGTGCCGGCTCCGACAAGACCCATGGCAAATATCGCATTGATCGCGACATCCGGGTCGTTGTCGTGAGAATACTTGCTGAGTGTCTCTAAGACGCTCAGAATCGGGTTAGAGGCACAAAGCAGACCTAGCGCTAAAGGAACAGCCTGGCGAATTACGGGTTCTCCATAATGCATCTAAAAAAAAAAAAAAAACACAAAAAGAAATTCATGCGCGAGATTCGTAATTACAACGAGAGTGATATTCGAAAAGATGACTGCAACGAAAATTTTTTTTTTTAAAAAAAGAGTGTGCATTAACTCACCAAGTGGTTGAACGTTCTTAATGACATTTCGGCGCCAATGTCTTCACCGGTGGCTATCAGTGCCACCCCCAGAACAGCAAATGCCTGATGTAAATCATCTTCCTTTTCCTTATCTAGATGGTCGTTGCAGATGTGCAACATGTTCTGTATTTTGAGCACGTTCCCGGTTCCTGTGTTAATATGCGAACAGTTACCACGAATAGCGCTGTCACGTGACTCGCATAAAAGAAAACAACGTGTAAAGCAGACCTGCGTACGAACAAATTTCTACCAAGACACCCACTTGCTTGCTGATGGGATGATCAATGGCTTTTAAGGTTTCCAGGGTTGCCTCCGCGTTTTCCTGCTTTCCTATAACATATTACCTATCAGTTAAAATCGAGCGAGGACCGTCGTGTTTGCGCAACTTACCAAGGTAAAGCAGGGCCAAGCCCAATCCCATAAACCTGCCCCATGTCTCCTTCAATTGGCCTTCAGTCCGTTCCATCATTGTCTGTAGTATTGTGCTTGTAATATCTCCGTTGCAACTTCCAACAAAGATCATTCCCAAGGATAACGCCGCAAGCGAGGCTATATCCATGTTTAAATCGATATCACTAACAAGCGGAAGCAATAATTCCTGAATATCCACTCGATTGGACCCAGCGTATGCTAAACCTAGGCTATCAATCAAAATGTTATTTATGGAACGAAACAGATTCCACGTATGTATCTGTACGTTTAAAACTACATACCCAACTATGGCGCAAATTCTCGTGATCGATTGTTTGTCGGTAATGTAGTCCGAAAGTAACGCGAGGGCCGGGTCATCTTCATTTCGAACACCGGTATTCATAAGCCCGACGGCAAGAAGCGCGCCAGCCTGGAAATCAAGCGTAAACGATATTAAAAAAACTATTCTACATACTTTAAATTCCAAATAAGAATCATACCTTGATATTGTCATCCTTCGAATATAGGTATTTATCGGGTTGCGAAAGACTATCTAGATCCCATAACATGATCATGCCGATTGATGCGGTCGCACTCAGCATGCCTAAAAATCAAAGGTAACGCTTAAACTCCAAGGAAGAATGTGTGCATGCATATAGGATTAGATGTATTTACCGTAATCCTTATTCTTATGAATCCATTCACTCCCTTCCTCAACTGATATTAACTTGTCATTTATAAATCCGGCATTAACAAAGGCATTCACGAATGTGGATGCAAGATTTTGACGTGAGGAATCAATACTGCCGCTAGTGAATCCGGGTCCTGCACGATGTAAGGTCGTTAGATGAATATAAAAGATCCATGAAAAAGTAGGGAGTAGAACTGATCCTACGAATGTTTTCCAAGTGACTTTTGTAAATATCTTCGGGAACCTTGGGTTCAAGGACGTCCAGCTCTTTAGCAAGAGCGATAAAATGCTTGGTCAGATTGGTGTTATTCAATATTTCTTGAATTTCCTCGTCCTCGATGGGCAAAGATATTCGCTGTCGTGCCAGTTGAAAAGCAAGTTGCTTTTGCAAGAGTCTTTAAGATTAAAGTGATATTTTAGAGGAACGCATTGTTCACCTTGAAACGCGTCATCAGAAAGGAAACTTACACGTCCAGCTCGCCGGCCGCATTAAAGTCCTCTCCAATTAAATCCTGATCACCGAGACGTATCGCTAATGTCACAGCCTCGGTAAACTTGTTTTGTTGTCGATAAATTTCGTGGGCCGTGCGCAAAAAAGCAATGTCATCGGGGGGCACCAATAAATTCACACAACTGTTGGACACAAGTTTCTCATAAAAATTTTGCACATGGATCAAGCGGGGAGGTGTTATGAGCGACGATCGAGTTCTCATACCTGACCATGTACAGGCAAACACGTGCATAAGTGTCCTTGTCCACGAACTGCGGTAGTTTATCGATTGCTTCTAACTCGAGTAACAAATCGACGGCATCGGCCTCGGCGTTATGTTTCAAAAAGAATGGGACGATCTCCAATCCAAGCGCCATGAGATCATCGGAACTCATCTCATTTTCCTGACGATAGAGATACTCCTGTCCAATCTCAGTAGAAAGATGCCTTTGATACGGGAGATCACACGTCAATTCCGTGAACACTGACAATCACGAATAACGATTCCTTACCTGACATACTCGTGACCCCATGACCCGGGATCCTCACGTGATCCACGAAGTCGAAACTTCAAGGAATCTCGCTTTCCCTCATCATAGGTCATCGCCAGGACGGATAGGATGTCAGCCAAGAATAACTGAGGGTAACACATGAGTAAGTCGTTGATTTCCCGAGGCAACCGGTGAAACAATTCGTGCACAAACAAATTCAGAGGTCGCAAATTACCTTGTTATCGGATGGCGACCAGTTTTCATAGACCTCGGTCATGACGGTGTAGTGCGGTCTCAGGAACTTTAGTGGCTTCGGAACAGAGGTCATGGAACTGGTGGACGTTCGAATCAAGGTCCGAAGGCTCTCCAATGCCGGTTTGTGAAGGTCAACATTTCCTTCCTGCGAAAAACGGCAAAATCGGTCACTTCATAAACATGACGAAACCGACGCATCCCGAACAGAAGCTACCTTCAATCTTTCGACCAACATTTCCAATTCGTTTTTCAACTGGAGGTCTTCTTCTGACTGCAAACGTGAAAGAATGATATCAATGCATATTCAGACTATAGATGTCTCGGTTCCAAAAGACTTTTCCTTCGACGACGATCCATGTATTGTTGTAACACGCGCTTTCGAGTTCCAGACACGTTTGTAACCTCAAATAGAACCATCAATGCGGTGTGAAACTTAGAGCGTCGCCTTTGGAAGACCATTGGTACAAAAAGCCTACCAATTCTTCGACCTCGTCCTTTTTATCCTTTTCGTCATCTGTTTTGACACCATTATCTTCTTTCGTTTTTGACTTATCTTTGCCGGGGGTGTCTTCGGAGGGTGTGTCGGTCTTCATTGTTTCTCGAACCATTTCAGAAAAAAAAAAGGAGATTAAGATTTTTTTCTAAAGTGAATCAAGTGTATGTATGTAAATCGAGAAGTTACGTATGCGAGATACATAGACACATACGTAAGCTTGATCCATCTATGTTACACGAGCCTACGTCATCAGCATGCATTATAAAAATTTTTTTGAACTTGTCAATCTGTTCTTCCTTTTCGCCAGTTGGCTTTAAAAATAAGAAAGAGAAAAGTGGCTAACGATGGTATGTTAAAATGAATTCAGTAACAGTCGGAGATGATGTTGTTGATGATGCGAGAGATGCTTCCCGATAATCTTTGCTTCAGTTGTGGCCGGGATATTTTCACATAATCTTCGTATTTCTTCTTTTTTTTTTTTTTTTTTTTTTTCCTTTAAGTCTCGTCACTTTTGCGCTGCCATCTGTCCATATATCTTTTGAAAGTAGTAAGCAACCGATTGATGCCTAAAAACTTTTTCCCCATCACTTGGACAATTCCAAGTTTGATCAATGAATCGCTGCCTTAAAGAGTGGAGTAGAGAGAGTACGTGTGTGCGTCATGACTAAGATTTTCATTTTTTTTTTTTTTGGGCAGGCTCGTGGACCAAGGAAACACTTGAAACGGCTTAATGCGCCAAAACATTGGATGCTGGATAAACTCACGGGAACTTATGTATGTGTCGAAAGGAATTAGAGGTTTGTGATTTAGAAAAAAAAAAAGATTGAAACGACAAAATAAATATTTTCACTGCACATTCAGGCCCCTCGACCTTCACCCGGTCCTCATAAGTTACGCGAGTGTCTTCCTCTCGTTATCTTCTTGAGAAATCGTCTCAAATATGCCCTCACCGGAAAGGAAGTCACAAACATTTTGATGCAACGCCTAGTAAAAGTCGATCACAAAGTTCGAACCGACAATACATACCCCGCTGGATTCATGGGTATGAGATTTGTCTCCTTTAAATTTTTTACGATTTTCCGTCACTGAACTTTCTTTCGCAACTGTTGCATCAAAGATGTCATCACCATCGAGAGCATCGGGGAGAACTATCGACTTATCTACGATACTAAGGGTCGGTTCACAATTCACAGAATTACTGCAGAAGAAGCAACGTACAAGTTGGCGAAGGTCAAAAGAATGCAAGTTGGTGCCAAGAAAATTCCATATATCGTGACCCATGATGGTCGTACAATTCGATACCCTGACCCTCTCATCAAAGTCAATGACACGATTAAAATTGATCTAATGACTGGTAAAATTACCGATTTCATCAATTTTGAAGGTAAGTGTATTTCATATGCATGAGTCGATCTAGGAAGATTCGAAATGTTGATGGTTGTGTCATATTTATAGCCGGGAACGTTGTCATGATCACCGGTGGGCGCAATATGGTAAGTGATTTTTGTGGTGCCTCTCTATGTGGTTAATCGCCCGGAATATTAGAATAGTAGAATATTGTGCTACTTACAAATTCGTTTAATACTGATTAGGGACGTGTTGGTGTAATCACCAAGCGGGAACGGCATCATGGCGGTTTCGGTGAGTCATTTCCTTGCGATACGATGATTTAGATCATCTCGCGCAACTCGAAATCGACAGACGAATGACATTCACTTATATGCATTTAGATATTGTCCACGTTAAGGATGCTCGTGAAAGGACATTTGCCACTCGTCTCACCAACGTCTTCATGATTGGTCAGGGTAGCAAACCTTGGATTTCATTACCTAAGGGCAAGGGCGTCAAACTCACCATTGCCGAAGAACGTGATAGGCATGTGCTTTCGTTATTGCATAACAACGTATCTTGATGAACGATCGATCATTAAATTTTCTTTAATTTCTATTACAGACGCCGTGAAAAGCATCAAGAATAATTTTCAATAGTAAGAATGATTTGAAAGTAATAAAGGGTTTTTTTTTCTTTTTTTTTTTTTTTCTCACACCAAAAGAACCAACAACGAATCTTGGCAAATATAAAAATTTTAATAGTCTTATTTATTATTCTTATGTTGCGAGAGTGGCTGCGCACATAAAAGCATAATCTACTTATCTAGTAGACAAAAATCTTGTCTTTCTTTATTGACATCTAATAAAAAATGTTAAAATGAGAATCCCGATCTTTATTTCTAGATGTCCATGAATTTAAAAAGAAAAAAAAGGGAAGGAACAGCAATTTACAATAGAATTTATGATACAATATGGAAAAAGAAAAATGCGAAAGAGAAATAAAGAAAATGTATAAATGTTCTTTAATGATATGGGCATGAATTTTCACATCGCTTTAGTTCCAAGCATTAAAATTATTCTAAAAATGGAAATCGTCAAATTAAGTGAAATAAATGTTATCGTGGTCAATCGTCCTCATCATCCTCCTCTTCAGACGTTACGTAACCTTCCATATCCTCATCGATATCCTCATCATCATCCGAAGCATACCAGAAATTTTCGTCTTGCTCGTCGTCGCTCGGACGTTTCTGAACGACGAAATCATCAGCTGTGGAAACAAAAAAAAAAAAAAAAAGATTTTTTTTTAGAACAATATTTCAACAAGTGAATATTTCACCACGAAAGAAATGCATACTGCTAGTAGGTATCTTCAACCCTTCGGGAATGTCTTTCTTGGACGCTTCGACTTGAGCTATTTTAAAAAAGGGATAAAGAAATAAATTCGTTAATTACCGGAATTTCTAAATGCAATCATATTCGCATGTTGAGTAGCATCACACTTACATCGAACAATCTTATTGTAAGAGTCTCGGTCCTTGCGATACATAACCTGCCGATAAAAAAGTGACATTTAATTCTCATGAATCGAATGATACGGTTTACATTACAAACTTACGCCAGCGTCCTACAAACCAATTAGAAATCACATGATCATTAGTCAAAATGGCTCATTGTATTGATGAGGCGTGAACGAAAGAATACATACCACATTGGCAGGACTGGAGCAATTTGGATCGCCCATGAGACTCACGATGCTAATCAAAATGCCTACATTCATGCATATAATGAGTGATCTTTAATAATTATCGAATTCAAGGTTAATCATGGATGATAATATTTAGAAGTCATAATACGAACTCTCGACGCTCTGAGTGGGATTCCAACGTTCCTTCAGAATATCAAAAAAAAAAAAAAAAGATATACATATATATATATATGATTTCAAGGACGTAATTATAATCACTTATTTCAAACCTACCTCCGCTGTTTCACCACTAGTGGGATCGTCACCGGGGGGATGAAGAATGGATATACAGAGTCGCCCATCCATGTAGACTATTCAAATCAAATTTCATAATGAGATAAAAGGAAAAATTGGGATTTTATTCATTTCAACAATTTCATACCATTGGGATGAAAGAATTCATTGTTGAACTTGAAGGTCGGCGGATTGAAGGGATAATCATTTGGAAACTTGAGTGTAGCCTAGCGTTCAAGGATCGAGAAGGGTTATCTTGACGACATTCCATTCTGTTTTTATCTACTATTTAATCACGTGGTTCGATCGTACCTTGAAATAGCCACCTTCGTAAATCGTATTTGGAGCACCGATAATACCAACATCCCTATTAAGAGACAAGCAAAAATTTAGAGAAATAATCGAGGATAACCCTTTGAGCTGATGAAAGTAGGCGAGAGTTTTTCTTTTTTTTTTTTTTTTTTTTTTTTCATTTACCACTCGAATACGTTACTGTCATCTTGCAAAGCGACCGTGAATCCAGGCACAGGATTGCTCGTGAGTTCTGTAATTGTAAGCATGTTGGTTAGACACCGCCAATATTGAGATCCAAGTCTTGAACGGTGAATTCCCTATTGTTGCGATGAAGGCGAAGGCAAAAACATTTATGAACGAAACTTGCCTTTGAATTGTTTCAACAAGATGTTCGCAGCGCTAGACATCTTTTGCCAAACGTTTGACAATATGGGCTATATAGGCAGCGGCAGAAAAAAAAAAAATGTAGCGAAGCCTGGTGTTTGAGGGTGATAGAAAACAAAAAGTAAAATCAGAAATGCTAGTCAGCTTTCAAAGGAGAGGTCAATAGTAAGAAGGAAGAAACCCTTTTTTTTTTTTTTTTATTAGCTTGACATATGTTAATGGCACGTGATATGGTGGCACGAACAATGAGTGCGTGCCGTACGTACGCAAATTACCCAAAAAAGTTCATGTAAGAAATCCGATACACAGTTCTTTGTTCTATTATCATTCATTATATCCACTGTATTGCTATCAAGAATGACATTATTCCTTATCTAACAAATGAATTTAATTAAACTAATCTGGGCATACTATACAACGTTTCTCTCTCGACGAACGACGATGCGTGAAAATTGAAGATGTGGTAATACATTATTTTTTTTTTTTTTCGATACATGTCCGCTGTATGCATTTGCTGGAAGACAGCAACATGGCAATCTCGAACTTCCCCTACTTGTGCTACTATCGGGTCAAGTGTATTGGTCACGTCATCGAATGGAGTGGAACGCTAATTAATCGAGTAACGATCGGACTTCACGTGTGGCAAAGCATAAAATTCGCTTACACAAAATACACGACCACCGGCATCATCCTCCATTTTCTTTCTGTGCAATGGATCAAAAACTATTGTGTTATGTTATCCTCGAGAATGGTTACATACCACTTTAGAATATAATGTAATTTCTTTGATGCAATGTAAGCCTATCAAAATCAAATATACAGTATTATGGTCATTATTATATATCCACATGCCCAAAAATATCGACGAGTAATTTCGATTGATAACTATAAGATGCTTAATTAAATCTCTGACCAAAAAAGTCTCAGATCGGACTATCCCATGACCAATTTCACTTGCCAATAATATGATTACATCTAAGATAATTTATTGATTATCAAATTATTAAGATGATGGCGCAACGAGTGAATTTACTTATAAAAAGGATTGCGACTCATTGTTTCTGATTCATCACAGAAATCGAGAAATGTCTGTTAAAGTGACCGGCTTCAAATCATCCGAAGTTTTCGAACAGCTAAAGATCAATATCACCGACAACGAAACAAAGAAAAAAGAGATCATCAAGAAGGTATTCTTTTAGGAAATAAAACATTGTCAACCTATGCTTCTTTCAACGTTTCTGAGTATTGTTCTCTTGCTAGATAAATGCGATCTATGAATTTAATGTAAAAAATGAAGAAGGAAAGACTCAGATCTGGACCATAGATTTGAAGAAGGGAGTCATTCAATCCGGAAAAGGTTCGGCGGAACCTGACATCTCCATTAATCTGTCGGATGACACCTTTGTTCAACTGGCCTCTGGGAAACTAAACGGTAATTAGTGCGACTAATGAATGCACTGTTGTCCATTCAAGATTTTTACCGAACATTAAATTGATGATTTTGTTTTTGACGATGCTTGCTCATATCAGGTCAAAAGGCATTTATGTCAGGAAAAATTAAGGTCGAGGGTAATATGATGTTGGCCACAAAGTTGGACAGTATACTAAGCAGCATTCCCAGGGCAAAATTGTAGTTTTAGCCATTCGCTTTACATTAATTTTTGTTTCTCATTGTACGAATTTTTAATTTCTTTGAACATCACGCAAAATAGAAATAATTTTTAATCAATGTCTTTCGAACATCTACTCATTAAAATGACAAAAGAAGGAGTTAATAATGAATTAATTCCCTTGTCTTGTAACCGTTATACAGTACATCATAGTAAACATAATAATAATGCAGTCAATTAAATTTTGGATTTCGGGATGAAAATTGGAATGCATTGATTGGCAAGGAGAGCAGACATATAACACCACGCTCATTTGCTCACCACTTTTACCATACCCTCTCCCATTTCTTGGCATGGTGTCAGATGCCTTACGTTGATTTACCTTTGATTCGGCCTTCGCTGTCTGGTCAAATCAATCCAAGATGCTTGACGATGCCTAGCACTTCTTCCCCCGCTATCACTAAAATGACTCTTCATATTCCATCAACAACGCATCTCTTCCAACTTCATAATAATCAATCACTTGTTCCACGACCTTGAATCCAACCTTTTGATATAAATTCACGGCACCTTCTCGCGTTTTGTCCACGTGTAAATTCGCTTTACTCTTCTTGGGCACGCCGGTCTTTTCGAAAACCCATTCTAACAACATTCTTCCTAATCCATTTCTCCGGTACGACGGATGAACACACAACTTTAAAACTTTCGTCAGCGGTAAGGTCTTTGATGAGACATGAGAATATATCAGATATGCTATAATTCTGATTTCAGCTTCTTCACCGTGATGAATTCTTGATTCCCTTTGACCATTATGCTTCACAGGTCCCTCTATTTTTTCCTTTTGCTCCAATTCATAATAAGCGATCAATAACTTATTGACTCTTTTGGACATTTCTTCTTTGATCGCCATAACTTCATTTTTCGGAAACGATCTACGTTCCAATGCTTCTATTTGACGAATCACCGAATCCCGAAATTTCTCTATCTTTTTATCGGGAAACAGCGTGATTTGAAAATTCGGTGGAAGCATCGAAAAAAAAAAAAAATTATATACAGTATGTATACAGTATATATATATATATTTTTTTTGGTTTGCTTTCGGCCCACAGCGTGATCGTAGATCTTACAATCACTCGGCCCAGATCACCTGTTATACACACAAACAAATAATAAATAAATATTAATATTATTAATAAATATTATGATATACTGTCTATAAAAAGCTATATAATGTTTAAAATTCCTAAAATTAATCGATTTGTAAAAAAAAGAAAAAAACTAGTAATCAACTATTAGATAAAACAATGAATATCTATTTATAGAATATTACAGTACAAGACACTATGTGATTTTAATCGTGTATAGATCTAAGCTCCTTAAAACGGATCAATTTTTTTAATGGAATAACTCATTATTTGTTTGATAAATTGATTCATAAATCATCAAATCAAATTCAAATTCATATTAAAGGATTATAATAGTTATCAAATATATTTATTATATACTGTATAGGATCAAGCCAAATTGATTTTAATTCCATTAATTTATTTAATAATTTAATTTTTTTTTTTTTTTTAAAAAAAAATGCTGGCTGAGTCAAAACTTTATTGAGAGGTTCTTACATAATATGAAGGAAACAAAGTTCTTCTAGAATACATAAGAAACATTTGAGAAAATAAAATATTACAATAGAAAAGTTCCTTTATAGAGATTTCACCTTGTGACCTAGTCACCTATTAAAAGAAAAAGAAAACTAGTCTAAGATCCAATTAGTTCTAAAAAAAATTTCTTAAAACTGTACAGATTACTGGATAATCGATCTAAATTTTCTACACCTACCAACCATTTACTAAAGATCAATGTTGATCAATCTGATACCTTGTGAATTATTCATTGAAATATTGTGTTTTTTCATCTTTAAATAGAAATGAAGTAAAAAAAGAAAAAAAAATTACTCATCCAAAGACCTAATGAATTCTATGGTCAAGAAGATATCTTAAAACCTTTGGTGATTGATGAATCCAATCCTGTAAGTAATATCATCTTTAAACATATACTACTTATTTAAAAAGACATAAAACTTTCAAAAATAGATTAAGCCTAAAGAGGATTCTTCTATTTTGACAATTGTTTTTAACTAGTACTTTCATTGCAAGTAAGAATGGTAAGTATCACTGGTAACTTTAAAATCTTTTTTGAGGGTGAAATTTATCAAAAGCCTTAATGTAAGGCTTGATTTATGGTCCTTCAGTAAACTATAGATTAAAAATAAAAAACCTACCAATTGGAAAAAAATTCCTATCTATCTTATTTATTTTTTATAAAAGAGAAAACAGATCTTTATCTATTTATGGGAGCGAATGAAACCTATTTGACTATTAAGAGTAGATGGTTTCAATTCTAAAAATAATTGAAATATCTTATAACCTTTACTATAATCAAATAGACTCTTTCTTATTTCCTAAGATGTATTAGATACTATGTCCTATATCTATCTGTACAAACTTAGAAATGACTCATGGTAAATCTCGAGTTCATATAAAGCTGTAAAAATATATTCAAATACATAAGATAACAAATGAGAGCTTGTTTACTTCTTTTATTAATATAAGTTCTATTAGTTCAATCATGATGTGAAAAACTTTATGCTATCAAAAATTCAGAATCAAATTGAAATAGGTAAAATTCATCAGAAAAAATCCAAAAATAAATACTATTAGAATGTGCAAGTAACAAAGAGAGTGGGAAAGTTATTTCTTGTTATTATAAATACTTTATGTTGTTTTTCTATAGTGTAAGATAATGGTACATTAATTCTTCTTTCTTTCAAAACTTTTTTTGCCATTAATAAAAAATGTATTTCTTGATTTTATAGTCACTAGAAATTGAGTTTTTGTTTAAAAATAAGTGTTATAAGAGGAAGAAGGGAGATAAGATATCTTTTGAAATTTCTTTCAAATTGATTTAAGATGAGTAATAAGACTTTATTAACAAGAGATATAAAAACTTTTTACAAACATCTTTTTATATATAATCAGAGGATCAGTAAAAAGAATTATGTATTTAATAATTTAATAAAGTAATTATAATAATAATATTATTATAAATATAAACTTACGAATTTATAGCACAGTAGTAGTGCTTCTAGGTCACAATCACAAGGTCTAGAGTTCAATATCACACAAGAACTATATGAGAAAAAATAATCAAATTGCATGAAGATAGGACTTCTGGCCTCCCCGTTGATCACCAGGTTAAAACAGATCTATCATAAGAATAGCATAAAGAAAGGCCTCTGGTCTGATTACACGAATTATGTCCAATTATTCTCTTAAACTAAACAAGAAATAAAAAATCCAGGATCCTACTTTTAGGACTATGGTAATTGTTTGAACATATATACCCCATCTGGCCTGACAGTTTTCAGGACCCCTACTTTTATAGTTTAGGATATCTCAATCTAATATTTCATTTAATTAAAAGTCAGTTAATAGAAACTGATCTGATACCACAGGTAGTAATAAAGAAGGTAACATGCCCCCTTTTGAGATTTGAGTGAATAATATCAAAGAGTATTGAAGAGTGTACAATTCCACCTGGATACATATATAAGAGAACTAGCTTAATAATTATAAGTAATAATATATAGCTCAATACTAATTAGTCTTAGTAATGTCATTGATGACTGTGTATTAACTTCTGATCTCTAGTTGAGTCTGCCTATTTTCAAAATGGTGTGTAGGCTTAATTAAGAATAATCGTAATGAGTTATCATTAATCTGTATGTATATATGAATATATAATTTATAAGATATGATTGACATCATGCCAAGGATTTCAAAATCCAAGATTAAGTTAATTCTTAATAAAGGCTTACATCTAATATCAGTTGTAATTTAAAATATAAAATATATATATATATTATTATAAATATATAAAAAAAAATTTTTTAATTCCAATATATGAGACAAAAAACTCTTTCTGTTGATCCACTTTTTTTCAAAAAATTTTCTTTTTTGACAATTTTTTAGAGAAAAAGAATAATACAATCCAAGCTCAATAAACACAGTAAAGAGAAACACAACTACATTATCCCACTTGAAGCAACACATAAAGCTTTATAAACAAGCCACCAGGAGAAAAGTACATAATAACAACATTAGTACTTTATCCATCAACTTTTGAAAGAAAGGGAAAACAAAAGTAAATCTGAATCACAGTAAGGCCAAGGGACTCAACATCAATTCTCCTAGCTTCCAACCAGACCAGGTAGATTTACACCTTTCTAGACATTAGAAAAAACCTAGTAATATAGTAATTTCAATCAGTAAACCAGTCAAAACTCAAAAATTGTAAGACCCAAGAGGATATCAGGAACCCAAGAGCAACCACTAGAAATTATTAGTAACAACATATCAGCAACACATAAATAACTAGTACATAACATGAACATGAACACGTCCCTTTAGATAATAGAGATATAACAATAGATTATGTAACATATTTCTAGATAGATAAATAAGCTCAACACGTATCCTAGTTAATTATAAAATACATTCCTCACATCTGATTTACCTCTTAATAGACTCAGCACACATGTTACTGAAATCAACAAATAAATAAATAAACAACTTGCAACTCATGTTTATCCCATAATTGATCTACTAGTATAATAGATAGATTAGGAAACTACCAGTAATATTATCTAAATAAGTAAACAAATAAACAGAGTTAATCCATGAAGCATGACTCATTCAATAATTACGTAATATAGTCAACATGGATAGGGCATAACGTATTCTTCATATAGTAAATAAAAGGAAGAAGAATATCTTGAATATCTTAATTAAACTTTCAAGAAAACACAACAAAACCTCAAAACTATAGGTATCCCAACAATTGGTAAGGCAAAAAGAAGGAGATCCAAAAGAAGAAACAACTTCTGCACCAGAGACTTTTGCCATTCTAGATAGTATTATTGCTAAAATTCTAGGAATAGACAAAACAACATTCCATAAGGAATGGATCCTTACTCAATATATTATATACCTTTGACAATAAGAAAAGGAAAAAGAAGAAGATCTTCTATAACCCTACATAGAAGACAAATTTATAGAAATTATCAAGAATGCAAGTGATCTACAGGAGCTAAAAAGTCAACTGATAGAGATCACTGAACATGTAAATACTGAGTCAATGATAGATAATGAAATCACAATAACCGGTATTCATAAACAAAAAGAAGCCGAAATACAAAGGCTTTAAGAGAAAATAAAAGGCAACAACATCAGTGATTATAGCTCATATGACATGAGAAATAGGAACTTCATCCTATCGACAAACCCATATTTTATAGGAAGAGAAGAAATATATAGACTCAGTGCCATGATGACCAATATTCTAGGAGAAACAAAAGAAGTCAAGGCCTATCTAAGCAATATCTTGAAACTACCACAGAGAGAAAGACATCTCTTAAAGAAAGAATTTATC